CGCCTCCACCGCAAATTCCTCATGCCATGCTACACGAGAGTAAAAATCAGAAGCCAGAACTCTGAGTTACCTAACAGCGAAGACTGATAGGTTTCTAGTTGACTCAAAAGAGCTCACAGATCACTCCACAGGGGGGTCCGGGCAGGTGTTGGGAGTTGCCGGGCGGCAGGTGCCGGGCTCGTTTTTCGCCAACAGTCACACACTTCGTGCTCTTCGATTTCCCAGAACTCCATTCCCAGGCCACATTCTGGAGGGCCGAATGCAACAGTCACACACTTCGTGCTCTTCGAGTTCCCAGAACTCCATTCCCGGGCCACATTCTGGAGGGCCGGATGCAACAGTCACACACTTCGTGCTCTTCGAGTTCCCAGAACTCCATTCCCGGGCCACATTTTGGATGCCCGGAGCCAACTGTAGGCCACTTCGTGCTCTTCGAGTTCCCAGAACTCCATTCCCGGGCCACATTTTGGATGCCCGGAGCCAACTGTAGGCCACTTCGTGCTCTTCGATTCCCAGAACTCCATTCCCGGGCCACATTTTGGATGCCCGGAGCCAACTGTAGGCCACTTCGTGCTCTTCGAGTTCCCAGAACTCCATTCCCGGGCCACATTTTGAATGCCCGGAGCCAACTGTAGGCCACTTCGTGCTCTTCGAGTTCCCAGAACTCCATTCCCGGGCCACATTTTGAATGCCCGTAGCCAACTGTAGGCAACTTCGTGCTCTTCGACTTCCCAGAACTCCCATTCCTGGGCCACATTTTCAGCAGGGGCAAGAGCACGACGAGGAGGAGGACGAGCAAGACCAGGAGGACGAGGACGAGCAGGAGCAGGACGAGGAGCAGGAGGAGCAGGAGAAGAAGGACGAGCAGGAGGAGGAGGAGGACGAGCAGGAGGAGGAGGACGACCAGGAGGAGGAGGACGACCAGGAAGAGGGAGGAGGAGGAGGAGGAGGAGGGAGGGGAGGAGGGAGGAGGAGGAGGAGGAGAGGAGGAGAGGAGGAGGGAGGAGGAGGACGAGGACGAGGAGGAGGAGGAGGAGGGGGGGGGAGAGTACCAGGAGGAGGAGAACGAGGACCACCAGGAGGAGGAGGAGGAGGAGGAGGAGGAGGAGGAGGAGGAGAGACACCAGGAGGAGGAGGACGAGCAAGACGAGGAGGACGAGAACGAGGACGACCAGGAAGAGGAGGAGGAGGAGGAGGAGGAGGGGAGGGGGAGGACTACCAGGAGGAGGAGGAGGAGGAGGAGGAGGAGGAGGAGGAAGAGGAGGAGGAGGACGAGGAGGAGGAGGAGGAGGAGGACGAGGAGGAGGAGGGGGGGGGAGAGCACCAGGAGGAGGAGAACGAGGACCACCAGGAGGAGGAGGAGGAGGAGGAGGAGGAGGAGGAGGAGGAGGAGGAGGAGAGAGCACCAGGAGGAGGAGGACGAGCAAGACGAGGAGGACGAGAACGAGGACGAGCAGGAGGAAGAGGAGGAGGAGGAGGAGGAGGAGGAGCAGGAGAAAGAGGAGGAGGAGGAGGAGGCAGGCTGAGGCTGAGGCTGTGACTGCGACTGCCGTTGCCGCTGCGACTGTCATCGCGAATGCGACTACGACTGCGAGAACAGCAGAATTCGACAACTGGATTTTCATCTGAATCTTAAGGGGAATGCTTTCAGATATGCTTCTACACATCGCTGTTAGGTTGCTTTGCCGGGATAATTTCTCTTCGTGGATGGTGGCCTTCGGTAGCACGACAAAACCACCGTCCTTGTCAGTGATGCAAGCGCCGACTGGTGAATTCTTTACGCTTCGCGTATCCCCACCAGCCCATCTCAAAACAGCAACTCTTGCGAAGCATACCGACAGTCGTGTTTTTACCTAACAGCGAAGACTGATAGGTTTCTAGTTGACTCAAAAGAGCTCACAGATCACTCCACAGGGGGGTCCGGGCAGGTGTTGGGAGTTGCCGGGCGGCAGGTGCCGGGCTCGTTTTTCGCCAACAGTCACACACTTCGTGCTCTTCGATTTCCCAGAACTCCATTCCCAGGCCACATTCTGGAGGGCCGAATGCAACAGTCACACACTTCGTGCTCTTCGAGTTCCCAGAACTCCATTCCCGGGCCACATTCTGGAGGGCCGGATGCAACAGTCACACACTTCGTGCTCTTCGAGTTCCCAGAACTCCATTCCCGGGCCACATTTTGGAGGGCCGGATGCAACAGTCACACACTTCGTGCTCTTCGAGTTCCCAGAATTCCATTCCCGGGCCACATTTTGGATGCCCGGAGCCAACTGTAGGCCACTTCGTGCTCTTCGAGTTCCCAGAACTCCATTCCCGGGCCACATTTTGAATAGCCGGAGCCAACTGTAGGCCACTTCGTGCTCTTCGAGTTCCCAGAACTCCATTCCCGGGCCACATTTTGAATGCTGAGGCAGGCTGATGCTGCGGCCGAGGCAGGCTGAGGCTGAGGCAGGCTGAGGCTGAGGCCGAGGCTGAAGGCAGACTGAGGCTGAGGCTGAAGCAGACTGAGGCTGAGGCTGAGGCAGGCTGAGGCTGAGGCTGAGCAGGCTGATGCTGAGGCAGGCTGAGGCTGAGGCTGAGGCTGATGCAGGCTGAGGCTGAGGCAGGCTGAGGCTGAGGCCGAGGCTGAAGGCAGACTGAGGCTGAGGCTGAAGCAGGCTGAGGCTGAGGCTGAGGCAGGCTGAGGCTGAGGCAGGCTGAGGCTGAGGCTGAGGCAGGCTGAGGCTGAGGCTGTGACTGCGACTGCCGTTGCCGCTGCGACTGTCATCGCGAATGCGACTACGATTGCAAGAACAGCAGAACTCTACAGCTGGATTCTCACCTGAATCTTAAGGGGAATGCTTTCAGATATGCTTCTACACATCGCTGTTAGGTTGCTTTGCCGGGATAATTCAGGCGTGTTTCCGCCTGCCCCCGCATATCTCCGGGCCTCTCGTCCTGGTGTGAGTCGTTCGGGCCCTTCTTCCTGGTGTGAGTCGTTCGGGCTCTTCGTCGTGGTTTGAGTCGTTCGGGCTCTTCGTCCTGGCGTGAGTCGTTCGGGCTTCTCGTGATGTGAGTTGTTCGGGCCCTTCGTCCTGGTGTGAGTCGTTCGGGCTCCTCCTCCTGGTGTGAGTCGTTCGGGCTCCTCGTGGTGTGAGTCGTTCGGGGCCCTCGTCCTGGTGTGAGTCGTTCGGGCTCCTCGTGGTGTGAGTCGTTCGGGCGCGTTCGGGCGCCTCGTCCTGGTGTGAGTCGTTCGGGCTCCTCGTGGGGCCTCTTGGGGGCCTCTTGGAGCCTCGTGGGGCCTCGTGGGGGCCTCTTGGGGGCCTCTTGGGGGCCTCTTGGGGGCCTCTTGGGGGGGCCTCTTGGGCCTCTTGGGGCCTCTTGGGGGCCTCTTGGGGCCTCTTGGGGGCCTCTTGGGGGCCTCTTGGGGCCTCCCTCTTGGGGCCTCTTGGGGCCTCTTGGGGGCCTCTTGGGGCCTCTTGGGGCCTCTTGGGGGCCTCTTGGAGGCCTCTTGGGAGCCTCCTGGGGGCCTCTTGGGGCCATCTTGGGGCCTCTTGCGACCTCCTCAGAAGCGCAAATGAGAGCTGCCCCCTGAGAAGGACAAAATGAGCCCAAAACCTTCGTAAAATCAATGATTTTGCTATGAAGGAAGATGAGCGCGGCCCCCTCAGGACGCCAAAATGGGGCCAAAACCGTAGTACAATCAATGATTTTGGCTTGAAAGAAGAGCAGAGGGGCCAAACGGTGCCCCCCCGTCGGGGCCAGAATCCTCGTGAGGGTAGTCGTTTTTAGCCCTCCCAGGAGTCGAACAAGACCCCTCCAACGACCCGCGGGGCGCCCTCTCCAGGCCCAGGGGGAGGGGGTAGGGGGAGGGGTAAACCCCTCCCCGAAGGGGAAGAAAGGGGGGTTGAGAACAGAGCGGGCTCCCTAAACCACTCACGCCCAAAGGGCTTGTGGGATTACGGAGCAAATCCAGCGCCAGCTCAGCAACCCCGTTCAAATTGGTGGGGCGGCCGAGGGATGAAACCCGATGCCTCGCACGCCTGCACTCCTCAAGCACTTCGTGTGTAGTGTCAGAGATGAAACTCTCGACGGCAGGATTGAAAGTCATCGAACACGGGTGCGGCACTCGGCGCCTAGAGCGCAGAAAATGCCACTGGCTGGATTCAGAATCAGACATTACGATACGCCAGCGGAGACGGTGCTCCCAGATGTACAAACTCGAGCCGATGTCCTTTAGGGACGGAGGTCGGCTGCTAGAAAACACGTGTTTCCGATGATACCGCCTCAACAGGAACTCCAAGGGCCAGGCAATGGCTCCAGGGGGGCGTGCAGGCGACCCTCTGGGTCAAGTCCGCCATGCACCACCCAGGCTTGCCGCGCCCTATGTCGAACAGGACGGCGAGGTCAGCGGGCGACATCGCGCTGCACAGGGTGAGGAACTTCATTGCCACCAGGTCTGCAAGCGGCCGTTCCCCCGACCTTTGCCGCCGCCTTTCGCGCTGCCACGCCCTCTGCCTGTCTTGCCTTTGGATTTGCCTTTGGCTTTGCCTTTGCTCGAGGCTTTCCACTTGTCTTTGCCTTTGCTCGAGCCCTCACCAGGCGGCTGCGAGGGAGTCGAGGGCTGCTTGTCTTTGCCTTTGCCGCCGGCCTTGCCCTTTCCGACTGCCTTGCTCTTGCCTTTGGCTTTGCCTTTGCCAGCCCCCACGCCCCCGCTCGAGGCGGGGGCCAAGGAGTTTTTTGCAATGACGTCTGCCAGGTCGCTGGGCTGAATGTTGTCACCTTTCTGGAGCTGCCGGGTGGACGCCTCCAGGTGGGCATGTGCGCCTGAAGCGCTCGAAGATCCATCCGCTCGCTTTCTCAAGGCCTCTCTCAGCTTCAAGTCGATGGCAGTGCTCAGGTGGTCGGCCGGTTTCTTCTCCAGGAGGGCCGTGGCCACCTTGAGTTTCCTGTTTTCCGCTTGCTTCCACTTCTCCTCCTCCATTTTCTTGGCCTTCACAGCTCGGTCCACGAGCTTCGTGTAGATGGCCTCGCCCTTCGCGCGCAGGGAGCTCTCTGAGACGCCGTGCGGGCCGTCGCCGATCTCCAAGTCCAAGTCCAGGGTGTTCCATCCGCTGTCGATGGAGGTCCTCTCGGCCAGCAGGCGGTCGATGAAGTTGTCCTTCCTCGTGTATAGCAGGAGGCGCGTCCGCTGCTCCTCCACGACGCGCAGGTCCAGCTCTCTGCACTTCTCCAGGTAGAAGATGTGAAGCTTGCGCTTGGCGTCGCGGATGGTGCACCCGCTGTCGAAGCGGATGTCGTAGCTCGTGTCTTGGAGCGTGACCGTGTCCAGGAGGTCGGTCTCGAACCCGAAGTTTGCCGGCTTCACGCCGGCTGGGATCGCGCCGCCCCGCAGGAACTGTAGCTCGGCCTCGAGCTTGGTCTTGCGGGCGCTGGTCTTCTGGAGGCTCTCGATTTTGGCGGCCAGGGTCGTGCTGGCCTTCTTGATGGAGGTCTTCAGGTCTGAATTCATGTAATCCTTAAGCTCCTTCTCGATGAGGTCGCTGAGGTTGTTGTCGTCGCCCGCGCGCGCGGCTCCCGCTTGGGGCTCGCTCGGCATCAAAGCAGAGGCAGGGGCCAGCCTGCCAAATGGATCGGCCGCCGGCGGCGACCGCGAGCGGTCACCCGCCTCCCCTTCACCTGGGCGCGCGGCCGCAGGTGGGCCCTCAGCGCCATCACGGACACCCTCTGCGCCCAGCAACTGTCGACTGCCGGAGCGCTGAGTCCCCAAAGGTTCTCCGCGGGGTGCCTGGTCAGCCATGCCGAATCAGTATTGGAAGTAAGTATGGGACGTACAAGGAATGAGGTGCAGTAACTGACTCAAGACGTGGACGGGTTTTGCTGTTATGCGCGGCCCACCACTCTGCTATGATGGGATGTGGCCTCGGTGCTAAGCGCCCTCCGCGCTGCAAGATGATAGAGCCGAAGTTGCAATGGAACGGATTGAAAATCAAATATGCCGAACTTGTCGTAACAATTCGGCGGTTCAGAGCCGGAACTCAACGGCCTGGTGCCGAAGACCCAGACAAGACAAGAGAAGACAAGACAAGACAAGACAAGACAAGACAAGACAAGACAAGACAAGACACGACACGACACGACACGACACGACAAGTTCAAGTCAAGACAAGACAAGACAAGGCATGACACGACACGACACGACAAGACAAGACAAGACAAGACAAGACACGACACGACACGACACGACACGACAAGACAAGACAAGCCAAGACAATACAAGACAAGACAAGACAAAACAAACCAATATGACCCCATGGAGGCCCAAGACGGAACCGAAGTGGTTCAAAGAAGCCCCCAATACGTCCCAGAACGGCTCAGGAGGGCTCCAACAGGACACCGAAAGACCCTAGGGGCGACACGCGCTGATTTTGATACGGCGCTTCATTGATTTGGGGTATAATCGTTTTGGGCTTCCGTCAGCCCGAGACGGCCAAGGAAGCCTCCAACGTTGCCCTGAGACGGCCCAAGATGCCACAAAAATGAGCCGAGGAACCTCCAAGATGGCCTCGACAAAACCTCGACGGCCCCTAAACGGCACAAGACGGCCCCAAGAGAGCCCCAAGACACTACGAGGACCGCCGAAGGGATCCGAGACGGCCTGGGAGGGCCTCTCTCGACCCCCGATGGACCCAGACGTCCCCACGACGCCCTCACGAAGGCCGCAAGAGAGACCCAAGACGGCTCAAGTGGAGCCCAGAACAACCCAGGAAAGCCGCACGGGGCCCGCAAGACTGCCCCGCAGGAGCCCAAGACTGCCCTGTTACGGCCCAATTGAGCTCCATGATAGCTCTTCAAGAAATTGATTGGGTGTGCGTCGCATGTGACAGCCTTTTTTTCTCATTCACGTCATCATCATCATCATCATCATCATCATCATCATCATCATCATCATCATCGTCATCGTCATCGCCATCGTCGCCATCGTCGTCCTCGTCGCCATCATCATAACCAGCCTCGTCGTCATCATCGTCGTCATCATCACTCGAACAGTCGCCACCCAAAGTGCTGGACCAGCGCGGTGGCGGGACTCGCTTCTGGCAGCCGGACGCAGTGCGAAACGCACTCGGCCGACGTGCACGCGGCGCTTCCGTCAGCAGACTCGCCCACGCCCCGCGGCTGTGCAGCGCGAGTCCCCGCGCTAACAGCGCGTGGCACCGAAGCCTCGTTGTTAAAATGTGTGCGTGTGTGTCTGCATGCTTCGCTCTGCACGGTGTGAAACAGAACTCATGCACACAGTCGCGTGCCCGCGTGCTCCGCGGTAGAGGGGCCGCTGGCGCCGCGCGCCACAAAACGAGCCACGCGTCGTGGGACCCAAGGGGAACCGCGCCGTCGGCGAGCGATGGCGCACGCAGAACTCCGCAAATCAAGACCGCCACCCCCGTCGCAAAGCCGAAGCCGATTCTCGTTGTTTCACCACGTAGGCCGAGGCCGCAGACCGACGGCATCGCAAGACCGAGGCCGAAGACGAATACCGAGGCCGAAGACCGACGTGCACCGCAAGACACAGCGGCAAAGCCAAGGCCGAGTACCGACGCCCTGAGGCACAGGTCGAAGCCGACAACCATGCCTAACCCGTCGGGCAACCCACTCCGAAGACCGACGTATATGCGGTAATGCAAAACAAACGGCGCTGTCAAGTGCACACCAAAAGCTAGGAATTTGGAGTCACAGCTGACCCCAAATAAGATTCAAAACAACAAGTTGAGCCCAAAAACCCTCACACCAAAACGAAAACGGATTTCCGTTTTAGTCGCCGTCCTTGCCCACTCTGGGACCATTCTTACCGACGGCCCCGTTCTCTGACCCCAGACAAGCCCAAGATCTATGCCATGAAAAAGGATCAGAGGGAGGGGTAGGACGTCAGATATGACGCGAGCGAACATAGCTTGTCCCCTCCCCCTCTCCTCCCCTCCCTCCTCCTCCCCTCCCCCCACCCTCCCTCCCACCCTCCCTCCCTCCCTCCCTCCCCACTCCTCCCTTCCTTTCCTTTCTTCGTTCCTCATCCCCTTCCTCCCTGCCTCCATCCTCCCTGCCCCATCCTTTGAGCAGGGGAGGTCCGCCGGCTGGACTTGCGCGGTCTGCACTGGGGCGCCGACCCGCAGGCCAGGTTCCCGGTGCTTCTCGAGATCGCCGGACGGCTCTGCCAGCCGCCAAGCCGGAAGAGGGTGACGAGAAGGAGATCTAGGAGGAGGGTGGAGGAGGAGCAGGAGTACGGTAGTGTCGTGCCGTGCCGGCGCGTCGGCGACCATAGCGCAGGCGTGCGCGGTTGAACGCCGCCAGTGGCCCGGAATAGGCCGCCGTCGAGCGATCCGCGTTGTCGGAAGGCCGCGACCGTTCCGGGCTGAACGATCCACACTGTCAGAAACCATCGCGCAAGTCGCAGCGACGTGAACCCGCCGTGGCAGGAGCGTAGCAGCAGGAGAGGTCCACAGACGCTTTTTGCCTGGAGCCAAAGTGCGAAACGAACAGGCACTCTGTGTAGGATGTTCCTGACCGCTAAACCTAGTCAACAAAACGGGAGTGTTGCAACACTCGTCCAACCTCTCCTAGGTTTAGCTCCCGTATCGGGCGCACATAATATGCCTGGGGATCCAGGTTTCGCGGATCCAGCGTCCAAGACATGAAACGCGTGCCTTCCCTGAAAATCTCAAAGAAACTGCACAGCGGAGGAAGACAGTGGCAGATCAGAAGGAGACTACTGGAAAGGAGACGCATTGTGGGAGAGGGAAAGGGGGAGGTAGTGAGGAGACGCACCGACCACACCACCAGATCCATCGTCGTCACCGTTGTCGCTTTGGACCTGGCGCCTGCAACTCTGGAGGTACTCCCAGGTCACGAGACCGTCGCTGCGGGAGAGGATCTGACGAGAGGCTGATTGAGACCGGTTCTTGAGGTCTGGGTCCACCCGACGGTGCTCGACCTCAGTCTCCTCATCTATGAGAATGAGCCTGCCGTGCGTCATGAGGTCAAAGGGAGCGGCGTTAATTACACTTGGTCACGGCATCCTTGGTCAAGGGATTGACCGGCATACGATTGTGGGGTACCCACCGCACCTGACCTCGGGCCCGCTCGAGATTCTCGCATATGATCGCCAGGTCCAATGCCGTCCGACGATCTCTGGCGGCAGCATTCCCCTCGTTGCGCATGGTGTCGTAGATAGACTTGGCGTCGACCACATGCACCTGGCGCTCTCTGCTCCCGAGCGCACAGTCCCGTCGCAATACGGTAGTGAAGGGCCCCGCCGCACGACGACAGTCGGGCACATCCATGTCCCTGAATACGACATTTCGCTACATCACTTGCAGGTACTCGACCTCCGCCACCGCAGAGGACGATGCCAATGTCTCTCCTGCTAATGTCGACGGAACCTTGCGTCTGATTGTCGAGCTTCCCCAGCCAAAGATAGAGGACCCCGGACAGCTCGGTTGTCGGTGATGGCCTGATCGGCTGCCAGGACCATCCAGGCCCTTTGGGTCGGGTCCTGAGGAAGTCCCCGATCGTAATCGAGGCTCTCGCTTGCGCACACACCGCTTGCGTCTGAGAATGATATGAAGGCCATGCGGTCGGGATCAAGGCTCCAGATGGTGAGGCCGCGAGAGGCAGTAGCTCGGAGATGCCCTGCCAGCGTATTGGCTATCATCACCTCACCCGTAGCGGCTGAGTGTTGACGATTGGCCAGGAGGCTGGCCACGCCAGCGGCCTCCGGACGGGCCTCGCGGCCAACCCAGTTGAATTTGAACACTAGTGGTCCCGAGGCCTTGAACTCGGCAACGTCGAGGGTCGAGTCCTTCTGTGAGAGAAGACCCTTCTTCATGGGCAGTGGCATGATCTCCTCAAAAATATACTTCCACATATCGATGATAGCCCGGCCCGCGTTCATGGTGACACGACGTCCAGTGAAATCGACTGGACTCGCATGGCAGTCGCGATACTTGCCGAACTTGAAAATGGCCTCCAGCATGCTCCTGAGGTCTGTCCAAGCTTTAGTCCCCGCGCTGGCAATAAAGAAATCGTCCACTTTCACTAGCATCATATTGGTGATATGCCCATGATCCCTGTACTTAATCCACCAGCACGGTTCGAACAATGATCTTACAAAACCAGATGGCCAATGTGTTTTACCACCGTTCGTCTCCATGCCGTGGGTGCGTCGTCTAGACCGCAAACATTGACTAGCAGTCGCATGCGGGACACACTAGGAACATTGATGCCCTCACCCGGCTCAATGTATACCTCGCCTTCGGTGCGCTGCCCTATCGGACTGGCAGAAGGCTGGTTTTACATCGCCAATGTCGCACTGCATCTTAAGATTCATGGCAACCTGCAGGAAAAGCATGATGGAGGTGGTCTGGGGTGTCGGGGTATACGCTTCCAGGGCGCCAGAATCGGGGTCCTTGTGGCCATGGACGCACCAAAGGCTCTTGGCGTCGGGATTCGAAAACGTGCCCTCGCGCGGTTTCCATCTTCGCATCGTCCTACTATGGATGATTCTATCGGACTGCACCTTTCGAATCACCTTGGCCTGACCTGGCGGAATAACCTTTACGGCCTCAGTGCCCATCATGGCCTCCCATTTTTTCTGATTCGACAGCAAACTTAGCGCGGCCACTGGGAGAAAGGCGGCCCAGGGACTCCTCACCGCCTCTGCTAGCGGCGAAAGCGCCACCGTCTTGGTCCTCGGCCGCTCCCGTCCAGCTCTGCTGCTCTTCGACAGGGAGGGCCATCGGCGTCTGGACCCCCCCCCGCAACCACCTAGAACTCCCTGGTGCTCCCGGCGGCTCCGGGGCGCCCGAATCGCCCGGAGGGAGAACGGGACCGACCGCGTCCGGCCTTGTCGTCCAGGTCGCGGACCCTGTCCGCCACCGAGCGCTGCGGTTCGGGTCCAGAAGCCGTGATCCCTCCCTGCGCGTCAGGCTCTCGGCTCTCAGGGTTAGGAGAGATGGAAGATTGGCCGCGACCGGGAGGATCAGATCCAATGTCAGCGTGGGGAAGGGATTGTGATGATGATGCTCTGCCTGGGGACGGCTCTGGACTCTCGGCCCTGAGGGGCTCGACCTCGGGCGGTGCGCTGACACCGCGGGCGCGGATGCACCGCGGCACGCCCTCGGGCTGTCGAAACCTAACCTCGGATATTGAAGGGCCTTCGAGAGGGGGCTGGGGAGGAGCCGAGGAGGGAGGACTGCCTCTGGTTCCTGACACAGGGTGGGAGGCGAAGACATGTGGAAGACCAGGGGGAGGAGAGAGAGGGAGGGGAGAGGCCGTCTCTCCCAGCGTCTCGTCTTCACCTGGAGTAACCGCTCTCGTGGCCTCGGATCCGTGCTCCTCGGAAATGGATGGAAGCCTGGTCCTCGCAGAGCCAGCCTGGGCCGAGTCAGACCCGGCTCGAGAAATTCCAGGAGAGGCAGACCTGGCCTGCGTCCCAACAGCAGTAGGCGGACCTGGGTCCCTGACCCGATCTGGGGCCGCACCGGAAAGGGCAGGTCCTGGACCGCGCCCGTTTGGACTTCCAGGTCCCGGTCCCAGGCGTCGTCAGGAGGGAGCCCCTCTCGCTGCACGTCCGCGGCTGACACGCGGCGAGTCCTGGCCTGGAGCAGGAGATCCTGCCATTGCGGATCCTGGGCCATCTGGAGACTGCATTCTTCTTCCCGACTGGCCAGGCGAACCTGCTCTGGAGAGCGTTTCCAGCGCCTCGCTCTGACGGCCACCCACACCGTGCCGGCCTCGCGGAGGACAGCGACGCCTGGACTTGTCCAGCCGTCACGACGCTTGCCGAGAGAGTCGGAGCGAGCAGAGGAACGAGCCATGTGACGCCACACAAACACCCACTGGCCTGGAGTGAAGGTCCTGAACGCGGAAGTCCTGGCTCTCGTGGCTCTGCTGATCCGATTCTTGGCCGTCGCCTCCAGCGCGAGCCTCTTGGCCGCCTCTTGAATGCAGCGAGCTCTAGCGAACTCGGCCCCTGCCTCGTATTGCTCTGCAGGCGCCCGCGCGACGTCTTGCCATCTGGGCAGACCTCTGCCGTCGTCGGACACGACGTCGTGCGGGAGGCGAGGGTTCTCTCCGAATGCCAGCTGAAGAGGAGAAATGCCTCCGCGGTGTCAGAAGCGATTTATTGTAAGCAACCAGCTCGTGCACCAGTAGATCGAGCTCGTCCAGCGCGGCTGGGAAAGTAGTCCCCGACTCGAGCTCCGCCTTCAATCGGTCCTTAATCCAGCCACCGTGCCGTGCCGCTCTGCCAAGGGGAGTCCGCGTCACGCACGTGATGCATGATCCCCCAGTGCTTCATTCCCCGGGCGAGCCTCTCCTGGAACACGGATCCTCCGTCGGACAGCAGGAAATTGAGGGGCCCGAGCGGCCCTATCCAAGAAGACGCAAAGACTGACCACACGGTCGCGGCCCTAGCGTCGGGAACCCGAGCGCAGACCTGGAGATCGGAACCGTGATCGTCCATTTTCGAGTAGCCGTGGGAGGAGCCGAGGAAGTCCACGTAGAACAGGTCCACGCCTTTGATATTGGGCGTTGCGTAATGGAGGGGTCATAAATGGGGGGGTGGCGAGGGCGGTCCGAAAAGGTACCCAAACGGTACCTAAACGAGCCCCCTGGGGGTCCGGAGGGGCCCGAAAGGGGCGCGAAAGGGGATCGTTTCTGACCCCCCCATTTATGACCCCCCCATGAAGCCACGCCCAATGATATCGTTAAAACGAGAAGTCCTGGGCAGGGCTACACGGCGGTGAGGTTCACTCCGCGCTCGCTCGGCACACTCCGAACACTGGAAGTGATCTCGAACCCATCTCAAAATGACCTTAATCGGGCGAAGAGTACTATGCACATGCACCGATCCTGGCAAGGCCCATCCTTGACCCAGGATCGGTGCATATGCCTTCCTGGCCAAGGTAGGAGGGCGTATGCACCGATCATGGGCTCAGGATGGGCCTGGTCAGAATCGGTGTATGTGCATAGTTCTTTTCCCTCTACTTAATCCCGCCGGCACGAAGCAGCCTCATGAATTTCCTGGTCTCGGGATGGCCCATGTTCACGCGAAGCTTGTAGACCAGTCGCTCCTCGTGCTCCGCATGTCCGGGCTCCTCGGGCCCCTTCGATC